TGATGCGCCTATCAAGCGTAGCATCGCACTGAAATGTGAAATGAACTCATTCCGCTTGAACTGCAACATTTAAGCACAAAGCGACAGTACGAGCAACAACAGCAACGGGTTGAGGCGTGCAGAATTCGTGATGTATTTAACCGTTAAATCAGACATTTTGACATTTACCTGCAGCTTACATTACTTGCTGCTGGCGAAAAGCCCTTACGCGACCAAAGGAACCCGCCGCCTACTGCCGCTGCTGACATTGTCGCTCTGGCTGTTGTTGCTGTTGCTGTCGATTTATCGCAATTAAGGCAGATTTCACTTTTCATATTCATGCACCAAGCAGAAGGCAAAACGGCAGCGCGCTGAAAACGAAAATTTCACGAATGATGCGCTGAAGGTACAAGCAACAACCACACACTCAAGAGCAAGACTCGTGCCTAGCAAACAATCAATAAGCACTCTTCCTTTCCAGTGTCACGCTAACTCGTCGGCGAATTCGATGTGCTCCTTTGCGTTCGTTTCAGCCCAGCATATTTTGCGGCGTTGACTGGCTTTTGACCTCGCCACTCGACTGAAGTACCCACATACATACACACATTCATACATATGTGCCTGATACTTACCTCGTCGAGCCGCGCTATTCTCTGGGCAGTGTCATTATTATTTTCGCTTTTCCTTACATGCATTGTTTTTGTAACTGTTGGGGAAGTTACTGTTGGTTGATGCAGGTCTCAAGCGCTAATACGCGAAGCAAAAAGCATATATACGCTGGCTGTACGGCTATGCGGCTGCCAAGTTGTCAGACAACGAAAGCGCCGCACTTAACCACGCCGCACTGCATCATTGTATCACGTTCTTGGCGCATATTTATGCACTTTCTCCTGATTCTGGATACCACACAAACATATATATATATATATACATCCGCGATGCACACACACACACACAGAGTGTTTTTGTGAAGCTGCAGCGACCACTGCAACCGCGGCCGTTGCCGTTACCGCGTGTCATCTTCGATATGACTGACTTTCGGCACTTGGCCGTCTGCTGCGCTGGTTTGCTAACCTGCCTGGAATGTACTTACTCACTCACTCAACGCTCGGGCTAAATATGCACAGACGATTTTTACCTCGTTTTGCATTTCCATTTCTTTTTTTCTATATATATATTTATGCCATTTATTCACAATTTTTATCTCCTGCCGCGCTGCGCATTGGAGGTCAGCAACGCGCCGCATTTTTGTGGCTGCTAGCTGGATTCCAGCGCCATCATTATCACCATGAATACCACCAGCAACATCAGCAGCAATGGCATCATCATCATCGTCAAGACCGCCGGCATTATCTCTATATACATAACCGTCTGTTAGCCAAAAGCATAATGACGAAAACAATAACAAAACAAATCGAAAATCGTGTTGCTTCTCGCACTCAAGTTACCACTGCCACTGCAAACCAGCAGGAAGACAACGCACCAAACCAAACTAAAGCAGCCAAAGCTAACGACTTCAAATGACGCCGTCGCCTTGTCTGTGGTTTGGTTGCGCCGCAGCCGCTGCCGCTGGCCGCGAGCTGGTTGCATTTCGCTGCTTCACTTTTTCCTGTATTTGAATATGCAAATCATTTGTTGGTTATTTTTATCGCTTTTTTATGTCTTTGTTGTTGGTTTTGTTGTTTTCGGTTTGTTGTTAGTTTGTTGCCTGCAAGCACGAGCATTTCTCATCAATTTTTATTGACATCACTTTTCCAGCATTTTTTCACTCTTGCTCTTCGACACAAATTTTCGGTTGTAATTTGTTTATTTGTTTTTTTTTTTGGCTGTTTGTTGTTTTGGCTGCTTTCATTGCGCCAGTTTTGCGCAAATAACCTGTATATTGGCTGCATTAATCCGACTCGCCAATCTGGTAATAATAATGAACTTCAAAAATTACAAACGGAGAAAATTCTTGACACTGCAGAGACTAACACTTGCTTGGGCTGGACTTGATTGCGAAAATTGGGACTTTGAATATTCATTGAATTTTTTAAGAAGAACTAAGTTGGAGTAGTTTCAATATTAAAGTGGCGGAGTCGTCAGAATAAACAAAAATATATATAGCATGAATAATTATTTTCTCCCTTTTCACTATAATTTAAAAAAATACATAATTACAACCGATTTGGTTAAAAATTTTTAGCGGCTGCAGAGCTTAACCATTGGAAAGTTGGTAGATGTATTAGATGCCTATCCACAGCTCATAGAAAGGTGTAAAATGAAATCACGACTACGGATTCATTTCAAAGGTTGCAGAAGTATTTTGGGGAGTCTACTCTATCACGAACACAAGTATTTAAGTGACAAAAATCATTCAGTGAATGTTGAGAAGTCAAAAACTGACTTCATGCGAGTCGTCCATCCACCTCCCTTCTCAGCTAATGACGATGACTTCGAAAAAGTTAAAGAAACAGTGCTTAAAATTCAACGTGTTCGCATTAGAGAGATAGCAGAGGATCTCAACATCCCTTATGGATCAACTCAATAAATTTTGGTTAATTTTTACGTATAGATAAAGCGAGTAGAGGTCGCAACAGAGATGCTTGAGAACGTAGCTGAGGACCCTACCCTTCATCAAAATTGCATCATTATTGAAGATGAAACGTGAGTTTATGAATATGCCGATAAAACTGATCAACAATCTAGCCAATTGTGCTCCATATATGAGCCGAAGGATTGTACCAAGTGTACGGAAAATTGGATTAAACGTTGACAAGCTTGTATTGGATCAGGAGCTTTTTTTAAAGGCGATAACAAAGATTCGTATGTGAAATTTTTTTTATCAGTCCGGGTCAAATTTGATCAAGGGGTATTAAGGTTGTACTCAGACCAGAAAAAATGGGTCTATGTATATTGATAGTGATAAGTTTAACTATTTACACTTAAATTAAAAGCAAAAAGAAATTTATAAACAATTGTTTGAAGTGTATAAGGAGTTCTCACCTTCAAAACGCATCGTTGAATTTTGGGCTGGTGAGTTTTAAAGTTATCGTACTAGGCTTAAAGACGATCCTCGCAAACAACGATCAAAAACCGCAACCACACCAGAAATCATTGGGCAAGTTAATAATATGTATTGCTAGTGAAGATCCAAGTTTGACTAAGCGACCTCAGACGAACGAGTACATCGTATTTCACATGGAGAATTACATATGAAAAAGCTGTTTGGAAAGTTAATCTGCACGCGTTAACAATCTAACAAAAACTGGATCGAAAACAAATTTCTCTGCATAATTTGGAGCTTTTTAAGCAGAATAAAACCGATTTCTTGCGTCGTTTTATAACTATGGATGAGACTTGGATGACCCTTAGTTGAAACAAGAACGTTTAAAGTGGACTAAAGCTGGTTGTTCAGCTCTAAAGCAGGTGAAGTCACCATGATAAACAAAGAAGGTTATGGGATGTCAAAGGAATTTTGTTAATTGATTATCTACAGAAAAATAAAAAAATCAACTCGGAATATTATTGCAGCCTTTTGGATCAGCTGAATGAAAAAATGCGTGAGAAAAGACCTGGTTTTCAGCACAAAAAAAAACATTTTTCATCAAGACAATACACCTGCTCACAAAGGTGTTTTAACAATGACAAAATTCAGCGAATTAAAGTACGAATTACTTGAGTATCCACCATATTCATCATATTTGGCTTCCAGCGACTAGTACCTCTTCAGTAACCTGAAACAATTCCTTCGTGAAAAGCGTTTTTCGTCGAATAAAGAAGGTATTACAGCTGTAGCCGGGTATTTTGCAGAGCTTCCGGAAAGCCATTATAGGGATGGCATGAAATTATTGGAGGATCATTGGAATAAGTGTGTTGAAGTTAAGGGAGATTTTATTGAATAAAAAAATATATTTCGTACCAAAAACAATAATATTTCATTTTGAGCGCTGAAACTTTTCAACCAACCTGTATTTCACTCCATCTTCATGAGCCGATGTTTTTCAATTACTGTGATTTCAAGATTATGAAAATATTCATTTTCTCAAGTGACATTTGTTAAGCAACCGTGATTATACCATGAACTTAGTCGGTATTTTCAGCAGAGTTTCGGTATATTAGGAGTTTTCACTATTTTTTCAGTTAATATAACATTGCATTTTCAGACTGCGACGAAATAACATTTCTGAGCTAGACAGGACAGGATTAGATGATTTTTCGAGCCATTTGTGTCCAAGTTATATGGATCTAACCAAGTCCCAAAAATAGCCTAAAATTATCTACTTTTTTACAATTTTTGCATAGATTAAAAACAACGAATTTGTTTTTTGTGGCTTGGTACTCTGAAAAATAGGTTTTATGTTACAATTAAGAGCTCTTACTCGGAGAGATTTTCTTAGAGGTGTATAAGAACCTATTTTTCAGAGTATCAAGCGAAAACAGAAAAATCGTTCGACCCACCCTAATACATATATACCTACTAAAAAGGTTGTACAAAATAAAGATCTTTTTATTCCCACGCTCGTATAAACGAATTAAAAACTGTCACATTGCTTTAATGTGAAAAATAAACACATATATGTATGTAAGTACAGCTCTCTTAGCAGCAGTATTTGGCAAAAAAATTTTCCCATCCGAAAAACACTTTCTCACACACTCACTCACTCATTTTTTACAATAAAGATGGCAAGCCCATTGGCCGAGGCTTTGACATGCATTTACCGTTAGGCGTAGTAAAATGACAAATACACAAAAAAATTAACAATTTGACAATAAAAGCAATCACTTAGCAATACAATATTTTTACGCTCACTAATATTATTCACACCACAATCGACATCAACTACCTACACAAACATAGACACATACACGTGGATTAACCAGCGCTTAGATTCAAAGCTGCGCTGACAGTTAGATTGATTGAATGTCAATCCGCTTGACTGACTGCGCATGCCTGACTGACCGGCAAAGGTGGATATGATTACTGCATACCTTTTGCATTTTATTTTATTTTTTGTTGCTGGTTTTTTCTTCGCACTTACCTGCAGTGAAAGGCAAACCATAACAGTCAATAAAATCTTTTTGATCCGCATCTTTCTCATTTTGTTGGCGTTGTTGTTGTGTTGCTACTGTTTTGGATTTCCTTTAGCTTCGTACGTGACTGTTGTTGTGTCGTAGTTTTTGTTGTTTGCTGTTGTTGTTTATTATCGTCGATATATGATAGCTTTTATTGTCTGTTGACGTTTATGTTACTCTTTGTTGTTGTTGGTGTCGTGTTTGTAGCGTAAAAACTGTGAAAGAAAAATGAAAGTAAAAGAATATAAATACAATGCATGCAATCATCGATAGATATAATAAATTTATTTTTCATAATTGTGGGAACAAATAATTATTTGCCAGTGTTTTAATTGGCGTTTAATGAAGTGTTGTTGCAAATGAATGACAATAGTGTTGCAATTGTAAATATATTGTTACAATTTGAGAAAAAAAAAATAGTTTAATGAAAGTGATTACAATAAAAAGGCGGCAGTATGAGATCAGCAGGTTTATGGAAATTTTTTTATGGGTGTCTCATAAACTTTCTGCTGTAGCAAATTTGTTGTATAATCTTTATTTTAAAAAAAAAAACACTTCAACTTCGTCTATACCGCAGCTTTAATAACCTTTACAAATAAACAAGTTTCCATACAAGGACTTAATTTTGATCAGTTGTATGGCAATTGTAGCCTATAGTGATCCGATAACAGCAGTTCCGACAAATGAGCTGCTTCTTGAAGAGAAAAGGTGGTGAGCCAAATTTCAGATCGGTATCTCAAAAATTATGGTACTATATCTATATATCGATAGACAGACAGACATACCCGAATCGACTCAGCTCGCACGCGGATCATTTATATACAACTACATATGTATATATATATGTATTTTTTTAAATTAGACCAATAACAAGTGTATGAAAAATTTGCTTACTCGTCAGTGGAGATAATCGTTTGCTATACTTGCTTGACCATAAAAACTTCTGCTAAAAAGAAATTTGTTTTAATTGATTTGTATTGGATTGGTTAGTATCATACGGAGATTCATTTCAATCAACTATGTAGCTCTATTTTTGGCTCTGTAAGTTTTGACTACACAATGCTTCTCTTTAGGAGGTACTAACTAGCCATGCAATTTCTTGATATGTCACAGCCTCGTGCGATTGAGTTCCACTTAACAAGAAAAGAGAACCAATTAAAAGTAATACAGAATTTTCCGTCATTTCATCCTGCCTTTGCAAAGAATTCAAAACACAAGCTTTATTTGTCGCTCAAAGCAGGCATAAATACCCCCATATAATAACAATACGCCCTTTCTGAAAAAGAGATATGTATAGTGGTTTGTAGAAAGAAGTACCATCTGATTAAATTTGACCCGGACTGACAAAAAAACTACCATTTTATGTATTTTAATACAAGTCTTCATTATCGCCTTCAAAGTAGTCACCTGAGCCAATACACGCATGCCACCTCTTAATCCAACTTTCCATAAATTCGGCTCGACGTTGTTTATGCAAAAGATTTAGGTCTTTTGGTATGAGTCTAGCATTGACACGGTTCACAATAGATATTGAGGCCCTCTGCTAACCCTCTGATGCCAACAATCGATTTTCAAGCACTGTTTCTTTAAATTTGTTATCGTCATTAACAGAGAAGGGAGGTGGATGTACGACTCGCATGAGGCAAGTTTTCGATGACTTCACAACGTGTACTGAATAGATGAAAGAAGGATTGCTTTTTCAAAAAAACAAATTTAAACAATTACCAAAATATTTAGCCGATAGTTAATTTGTATATACATATACATAGCATATACGGCAACGCCAGCTTTCTTCAGGACCCCAGGTAAAAATTTACAAAATTCGATCAAAAAGTAATTTTCCCAGACACTTCGAAACGCATCGAAGAAAGCTGTTTATTCAAAAAATATTAAAAACGCCTTAGGGACTAAGCAAACCAAACAAAATTAGACAAAACTTAAAAAATTCAAACCACAAATAAGCAACAATACAACACATAAGAAGAAGCAACTGCTGACCGCAAAATTTCGATAATGCTATTTTAAGCTCCAGCAATAAAAGTGTAAGTGCAAAAGTCACTTTCCTCAGTGCAGCAGCAAAAATAAAACGAAACAAAAGTAATAATAATAACAAGCGATACAACAGCTAGAAATTACGCACATTCGCGCCCACTTAATGCACACTTGCCACGCAAAACACTACACTAACGCGCACTAATACCCCCGATGATTGAATAAAAATCGGCTATTGTCTTCATACAATAACACATCGCCTGATGAATGATGGTATGTAATTCAAAAAAATACAGGCAGTCCAAGCTGGCGAGATAAATGGCAGTACAGAAATGATATAAGTAGCGCATAAGAGGCAACAATTTCGCGCGCACACAATTCTATTGAAAGCGAAAACGCGTGTGAATGTGCGAATGAAGGCGAAAAAGTGAGATCGTTTTCAACAAACTACAACAACCGTTAGTCGTATAATACATACACACAATACGCGCGCAAAGAAATGTGCAAACAAGCCGCTCACCGCTAGCCGCGCACCGCTGGCTAGCTGACCGCCTTCATTGCCGCGCGAAAATTCTTGTTTGGGTGCGCGAGCGTGCTCTGTGGGAAGCGCTGCTGTGCGCCAGCGTATGGAAGGCCAATACAAAATCAACAACAATACCACATAGTGTATTTGATGATAATGGTGGTCGTAAAAAATATGAAAATCTCTGTGGTGTGGTGGGTGCGCGTCAGAGACAAGCGCTCACAAGTGTGTGTAAAGTGTTGAAATAGAAAATTTTTCGTTATAACTCGGTGTTTGATCATAATTAACAATGCGTTGTGTGCGCGTGTGCAGTCAGCAACAACAATGGCAACAACAACTGCTGCATTATTTGAATGCTTAGTTTAGAAATTCCGTTGCGCCGCAATCGCTCTCAAGTGAAAAGTGTTAATTGGCTTTTAATATATGCAGACGCTAATAAATAGATATGTACTTACGAAGCGTGTGTACATAAATGTGTGCACAATGAAAAGTGGGTCAAAATGCTTTACATCTGTATATGTAAATGTTGGAAAATATCCAAGAACGCAGCACAGTCATAAAACTATTAAAGCTCCAATGCACGCAGAAAAAGGAAAAGTGTTAACAAGCAACTAATCAAGCATTATGTGTTATTAAGAAAATTTGCTTGATAGTAAAAGCCTGAGTTTATTTTAAATAAGTAATAAAAACTCGATTAAGTATTTTGTAATAAAAGTTAATGGATTTGTCATCACAAACATGCAGACAAAACAAAAGACTTAAGCAACGAACTCAAAATAAAATGTTTCCTCTACAAAAAAATACAAAATTTATAAGTTCAATATGAGCACGTGTTGGAAATAACGATGCAAGGGCAAGCCGGTATTTGCTACAAAGCTTTTACTTGGACATACTTTTTCAAGCGAAATGAGTCACTAAGAATTAATATTGATTGATGTTAGGTCAGTCCGAGAATTGACTGACCATCCAGATCACCAAGTTTTACTTCTCCTGACTTTTTTTGGAAGAGTTATTTAAAAGTAAAGCGTACGCGCAGTGAGATCAAAGAGCGTTTAGATGCTATATATGGTATTTCCTCTCTTTCGATGACGACCAAATTCGTTTGAAGAGGTTCAATATAATCGCACGTAGGTTTTTGATGACATACATTCAGCTGCTCCGCAAGTGGCTACCATAGTGTCTCTCTCCGAAGGAGTTTCTCCGATATTTCGTGAACATCTGCGAAACAGTAATCCACTGGTGCACACCAAAGTCCAATGAACAGTCGAAACAGTGAACCTCAATTGACAAACCTATCAAGAAGAAGGCGAAGACTGTCCTACCGGTCGGAAAGGTAATGGCCACCGTTTTTTCAGATTAACAGGGTTTGATCTATATTGAATACCTGGAGACGGACAAAAATATCACAGGGCCCTACTAAGCCGAATAACACAAAATATGCTGAATTGGAGAAAAATCCAATTGGCTAAGCAAAAATGGCTATCATTATGGACAGTCTTACGCCTCCGTTACGGCTAAATTGATCAAATTTGGCTACAAACTACTGCGACGTCCTTTTTTTGTCTTTTTATACCCTGAACAGGGTATATTAAGTTTTCTACGAAGTTTGTAACACCAAGAAGGACACGTCGGAAACCCTATAAAATATATACATAAATGGTCAGCATGATGAGCTGAGTTGATTTAGCCATGTCCGCCTGTCCGTCTGTATATACACGAACTAGTCTCTCAGTTTTTGAGATATCGATCTTAAATTTAGCGCATAACCTTTTCTCACCAGGAAGCTGTTCATTTGTCGGAATGGCTGATATCGGACCACTACAGCATATAGCTGCCATTCAAACTGAGCAATCGGAATCCAGATCTTGTATGGAAAACTTTTTCATTTGACGAGATATCTTCACGTAATTTGGGACGGATCATTATCTGAGGTAATAATAGAATCTTTAAAGAAATTGTACAAATCGAATCCCTATAGCATATTGCTTTCCTACAAGCTGAACGATCGGAATCGAGCTCTTCTAAGGAACATTTTGTATTTGTGAAGGGTGTTATACAAGGTGCGTTCCAAAGTAGACAGTAAAAAAGTAACAAAGCAAACTCTAGTGGCGCCATCTATATGTCAACTACTGCGTTAGAATTTGCTATCCTTTATCGACTTCCAGTAAAAATTTCATGACATTTCATCTATTGCGTTTTATGTGTCAGTATGTTTTTTCATCGGTGCGAAAATGAGCTTCCAACAAAGAGCCAACATTAAATTTTGTTTTAAAATTGGTAAAAATTTTACCGAAACGTTTCAATTTATGAAACAAGTTTATGGCGATGATTACCTATCCCGTAGCAGAGTGCACGAGTGGTTTCAACGTTTACAAAGTGGTCGTGGGGACTTAAATGTGAAATGTGCCGAAACCAAAAAAATTGCGCCTGGAGAAGTCAAAAGTGAAGGCAATGCTGATTTGTTTTTATGATTCCTAGGGTATTGTCCACAGAGAATTTGTTCCATCCGGCCAAAACGTTAATGCGGTATTCTACCTTGGAGTTTTGAAGCGTTTGATGCGCCATATTCGACGTGTTCGGCCCGAATATCGCGAAGATGGAAGTTGGCGTTTGTTGAACGATAATGCGCCGTCTCATCGATCGACGCTTGTGGCCATTTGTTTGTCTTTTTTTAAAGTCCTGTTTACTTTTGTAGCTTCG